GTCAGAACGGACTTGATGGCACTTACCATAGCAGCTTTATTCTGTGTAGTTAATGCAGACTCTGTCACTCATCTCAATGACAGAAAATTATAGGGGAGAATAAAATAATAGCAAAATGAGGAAGAGAATTGGCTCTGGAGCTGTCCTTCCTGGGATCAAAGTCCACACTTCTGACCAGCAAATCACTGCATCTACGAGAAAAAAGAAGTAGAACTAACTTGATTAAGCACCCAAGAGTAATATTAATAGTATTTAAGGAGTTGGAGTGGAGCTGTGGACTAATGCACTGGACTGAAAAATCACTTTGAACCACAAGGTCAGCAGTTCAAGCTCACCAGCTGCTCCTTGGAAATCCTATACAGGGTCTCTGTGAGTTGCAGCTGACTCAACAGCACTTAACAACAAGGATTTGAAAGGAGTAAAAGAAAGAAATTGACCTAGAAGCTTGATAATGGTGGTAGTAGTGGTTATGTGCCATGGAGTTGGTTCCGACTCCTCATCTTTCTCCCGTGGTAGTTTCAAACTGCTGACCTTGCGGTTCGCAGCCCGATTCATCACCACTACGCTACCAGAGCTCCTTTTGATAATGGTGTTGATGTTGTTATGTGCTGTGGAGTCAGTTCCAACTCATAGAGATCCTCTACAGGGTTTCCAGGGTTGTAAATCTTTACAGGAGCAGAAAAACCTTATCTGTCTCCTACAGAACGGCTGATAGTTTTGAACTGCCAACTTTGAGGTCAGCAGCCCGATTCGTAACCACTATGCTACCAGAGCTGCTTTTGATAATGGTGATTGTTGTTGTTGTTAAGTGCCATTGAGTCTATTCTGACCCATAGTGACCCTGTATAGGGTTTCCAAGGAGCAGCTGGTGAACTTGAACCGCCATTGATAATGGTTGTTGTTGTTGTTAAGTGCCATCGAGTCGGGTCCGACCCATAGCGACCCTGTACAGGGTTTCCGAGGGTGTAAATCTGTACGGGAGTAGAAAGCCTCATCTTTCTCCCGCGGAGCGACTGGTAGTTTCGAACCGCTGACCTTAAGGTTCGCAGCCCAATTCATAACCACTACGCTACCAGAGCTCCTTAGTAGGACTTAAATATGTGTAGAATTTGAGCTGGAGGAGATCATTTCAACGGAGACAGTGGGATTTATTTATTTAAATCCACTCTTATGAATGAAAATAACTGAAGGTGGCTTTCCTATTGATGGTGGTCAGCTGTATCATCCTTGAGTAGTGAACAGTGTTTGATTTTCTCTTACAGTTGTAACAATTGTTGATTACTGGGTTTCCTGACAACATTGTATGCAAGATCAGTTTAAGGAAGTCATAACAAGAAAGTAAAATGTATATAACTGTGGTACAGTGAGTTATTTTTACATGGCTTTTCTATCCGTGTCTTTATAACCCCCACCAAACAACTTTATCTTGATGGGTCTGGGTATGAGAAGGGTAGATGCTGATAGGATTCTGTGATTCACTTGTGAGTAATTGTTAAGAGTTGTGATTGTAAAAAACCTGGAACTCTAAAGTGGGAATTTGTCAGTTTTGCCACCATGCTGAGTATAAAATGAACCATCTCAAAAGCTGGAATGAGGGGGTATTACAACCAACATGAAAGAAGAGACAGGAGTGGAGTGTGTGCTTTGAACCCTGAGATATTTGAGTGTTGACCCTCCTCCACCCAGGAGACAAAGCTGTGACATCAGAGAAGCAGCAGAACCAAGAGGTAGAGCTGGGACAAAGGGATAAGCTTCCTGACTCAAGGAACAAGGAGAGCTGAGCGCCTTTGGGCAGGAGACTTGCTTGTGGAGTGGTGTGTCCCCAGGCACTTAGTCTGGGGAGCTAGGTTTGTGTGCCCACTAAGCCAGAATAGAGCTGAGGTTTCTAGCAGAGCGTAATGCTCTTTGACAATATATCAGCAGCTCTAAAAGAGTTTTGTAACATTGCCTAAGTAGGACAGATGTCAGCCCAAAGAGAAGCCAGCCTGTGGGAATGATGGAGAAGAAGCTGTCCTGACCAAAGAACTGTATCCTAAACATTTCCAATCCTGAATTCTAACCTGTTAACTTCTGTAATAAACGCCATAGTCTGTGAGTTCAATGGGGCCATTAACAATGAATTATTGAACCCACCTGAGAGGTAGAGCATGCTGTGTGAGGGACAGTTGGTATCAGAATTGGGAAGGAAGGTTGGGTGTTGGAGACATGTCTGACCTCAGTCTTGTAGTAATCAGCTTTGATGCTGATGAGTTTCTGTCTTATGAAGTCAGAGGAGGTGAAGTCAGAGGAGGTGGGACAACTTGCCTTCTCAGGTTTTATATCAATTCTTAGGAGAGCATGACAGTCAATCTTGGTGGATAAAGGCAGGTTCTAGTTACATTGTTATAGTTGTTAGATGCTGTAACTTTAGTTCTAACTAACTGCAACCCTATGTACAACAGAACATAACATTGCCTGGTCCCGTGCCATGTTTATAATCAATCCTGTTTGAGTCCATTGGTGCAGTCGCTCATTGAGAGTCTGCCTCGTTTTCAATGTACTAAACATAATGTTCTGATAACATGCCCAAAGTGCATGATACCAAGTTTCTCATCATGTTCACTTTAAGGAGCATTCTGGCTGTACTTCTTTCAAGATAGATTAGTTTGTTCTTCTATCAGTCCATGGTACTTTCCATATTCTTGCCAATGCCATTTTTGTTGTTAATTGCCATTGAGTCGTATAGGGTTTCCAAGGAGCTGCTGGTAGGTTTAAACTGCCAGCATTATAGTTAGCAGTCCAGTGCTTATCCTACAGTGCCACACCAGAACTGCATGGGCTCATTTCTAAAATCCCATTGACTTAATACTGCTATCAAGTAAATAGATTTCACTGCCCCATCTTTTCCCAGTCCTCTGCCAGCAAAGCTGTAGGTATATGGAAAGATACAAGAAAAGGAAGAGATTTTCTTGTGCTCTCCCCCTAGTCCCTTATTCTTTCCATCCTATTCCATTGATCTAGTGTCTTTTGAGAGCACTTGGCATATGCAACTTAGGAAATAACTCCTCATTTACCAACTGGAACACTTTGAGGACAGAAATGGTCAGGTAGTACACTGGGAAATAACTTGTCAAAATATTTCTGACTCATCTGCCCATAACTCCATCCTAGTGACTGCTTTTTATGACCAACACCATCTTTGCAGAAAGGAAGATACAGACCAGGTTCCAATGCTAGCTGTGTTAGTTCCCTGGTTTGACTAGTAGGCCACCTGGCTTCTACTTGTCTCAATCTTGTCAGTATTATTTTTATAGCAATTAATGAAATAACATTTGTGAAGGTGGATTATTATTTTAAGATGTTATTCTAATGTTAAGCAATGGTGATATTGTTATTAAGTCGCGTTGAGTCAATTCCAACTTACAGCTACCTTGTACGGAGTTTCTGAGGAGCAGTTGGTGGGCTTGAACCACCAACCTTGTGTTTCTCAGTCCAGTGCTTATCCTACAGCACCACAACAGGAGTCCTAAGTAATGATGATGGGCTATCATTATTGTCATGAGTATGAGGTGTATGAAAGCAAAGAAAGACTGAGACTTCTCCTCCTACACCTGCTCTGAAGACCTAAACCTGCTAAGCTCCCCCTTACATTCAACCAGATTTCTTCAGAGCCTTGGATTTTCTCTGGTCCCTTTCAGTCTGTGGTTTATTCTTTACTCATGCAATCCTTGATCCAACCAAGTAACACTAATTTAACTTCATTTGTGTTGAAGCCCTTGGAAACCCCTCTAAAGAAGAAAAATTGAAAACAATATACTAAGTACTTCCTCTTGGCCAGGTACTTTCTTTGCCAAAGATCTCTTTCCACAAGCCACTGACAATTCCCACAGAGAAGAAATTAGGAAGCCTTTGAAGCTGAGACCAATGGAAATTGCATTTTTATTAAAAGCAGTCTGTGGCTAGATGCATCCATCCCAGATACAAAATTAAATGATGCAATAAACTTATTCAAAGACAAAAAGCTATGACAAAATGCGTTGTGTCTCCCACTGAGTGTTAACAAAACATAGCTATAAATTTCCTTTGGTTGTCATTTGGGAAGCTGCACATTCTCAGCAGGTAATGTATCTGCCAGTTCTTCACTGGTGAATTCTGTTTCCCAGTTCTAATGAATAGAATATCAGGAATGCAGGATTCTTTGATATCTGACAGTTTTCAACCTTACTTGCTATCATCACTTCTGAATTTGGGAATAGCTAAGTCTCCTCTGGGTTTAGTTTCTGTTGCCCTTTTTACCTGCATTAACTGCAGAATAGGGAGTTGTGTTTCTTTGGTGAGGCCCATGTTTCATATATTAGAGATCAGAGCCAAGGAGGTCCAACCCACTGAGCCATGGCACAGATTCAAGGCTAGTAGCTCACACATTGACTCTGAACTTTGAGACAAATTCACAGCTTCTTACATGAAGCCATATATTTTCAGCGTTGCTTATCATTGAGTGAAGGGAAGAGTTGGAAAGAATACAGACCATTATATCTGGAAAGATGCAATGGTTTTACCATTGTTCCAATAGTTTAATAGTTTAACCATTACCATTGACCTAGCTTCCAGAACAAAAGAAGTGAACCCATGATCCAGATATGTCTCTTGGAAGCTGCTTAATTAAAAACCTTGTCAGGAATCCCAGTTGCCTTTGCATGCCAACTCCTAAACCCAGATGGAATGCTTTCTCTTGAACCTCACCAGAGAGGGCACTGGCTGGATGGCATTGAGCACTGTACCATTGATGAGACAGAGGGAGGGAAGCAATCAGTGTTTGCCCAGGTCCTACAGTCAATGGGTTTTCTCTCTGCAAGCGAGTCCGGCGGAATCGAAGGAAAGGTTAACTTGTTTTCTAGATAGAAGAGGCCTTTCTGGAGTATCACCTGCCTTGTTCTCAGTAGATGCTCCCCACCGGTAGGAGTTTCTTCACTGTCCTTAAGTCAAACCTGCTTCTGATGGACTCGCTCTCTTTTTATCAGGAAACAGCATCCTCCATTCGGCCGCTGACAGTGTGACCAGCGCAGTACAAAAGGCAAGCCAGGCCTTGAATGAGCGTGGGGAGCGGTTAGGCCGAGCAGAGGAGAAGACAGAAGACATGAAGAACAGTGCCCAGCAGTTTGCAGAAACTGCACACAAGGTAGGTGCAGCAGATGAACAGGGGTCTTAGCTTTGGGGTGTTGGAGTACTATTATGATGCCAAGAAACTTTTGAAAATATGTTTTCCATGATGGGATGTGCAAAATTAAGCCATTTTTGTTTTAATTGTCTCTTCACATAATTCCCATCTGCTGTTTAGTCAAATGTTGTATTGTATTAGGTAAATCTGCTGAACAAGAACTTTTTAGTGTTGAAGAGCAAAGATGTCAGTTTGAGGACTAAGGTGCACCTGACCCAAGCCATGGTGTTTTCAATAACCTCATATGCATGCGAAAGAAAGCTGGACAGTGAATAAGGAAGATCATAGAAGAATTGATGCATGTGAGTTATGGTGTTGGAGGAGAATATTCAAAGTACCATGGGCTGCCAAAAGAACAAACAGATCTGTGTTGGAAGAAGTGCAGCCAGAGTGTTGCTTGGAGGCCAGCATGGCCAAACTTCTCATACTTCAGATACATTGTCAGGAGGGACCAGTCACTGGAGAAGGATATCATGTTTGGTAAGGTGGAGGGTCAGAGAAAAAAAGGAAGACCCCCAGTGAAATGGATTGGCAAAGTGGCAGCATCAATGGGCTCAAGGGTAGCAATTGTGAGGTTGGCACAGAACCAGGCAGTGTTTCATTCTGTTGTGCACAGGGTCACTATGAGTCAGTACCGACTCGATGGCACTTAACAACAGCAACAACATTTACTAAGGAGTCCTAGTGGTATAGTGGGTCATGTGTTGGGCTGCTAACCATAAGGTCAGCAGTTTGAAGCCATCAGCTGCTCCATGGGAGAAAAATGAGGCTTTCTGCTATATTTACAGCCTCAGAAACCCTGTACAGGATCACTGTGAATCAGAACCGACTCAATGGCACACAATAGTAACAACATTCAGTAAGCACCTGAATCATGAAAGATGCCTTCTTATGCCTGTTTCTTGATCTCCTTTCATATTCTTTCATCTCTGCCTCTGCTTTTGTATCTTTGGGAAATGTGGGCCACATTTATGTTTCTGCCTAGAAGCTCAGGGTTCAAGTTTCAGGGAACAGGATGAAGGGAAAAAGGGGAAGAGATTAGTTAGCTCTCTCAGCATTTCCTTCCCTTGGCCTGTGCTCGAAAGAATCCAGAGAGGACCTGAGGCTGGCTCATGCTTACTTTTCCTTGCTGTCTCTTTCCCACCCTGAGCTAGTATCCTGTGTTCTTATCTCTTCCCTGTATGCATAACAAGCTCTAGTCCAAGGGCATTGAACACCTCATTGCTAGTTTCCCCTCTGAGAGAGTTATTATTTCAGGGCTTTGATTCTGACACTCCAAATTTAATGTGGTTATAACTGAAAGGTTCCCTCCTGCCTTCACATGTTTTAAATGGCATTTCCCTCATGACTCTGGGCACACAAATATGCATTCACACAATCACTAAGCACGGCACCCTTCAGGGTGGGAAAGGGGAGTTTTTATTGGCAGCCAGCTCTCTGTGGCTGTCACAAACCAAAGGAAAAAGAGGCCCTCCCTGTTGGTCAAGAGATAAAGAAGATTTATTAGTGTTCTGTGCTCCAGATCAAAGGGCGGTTCTTTTCTGGCTAAGGATTTGAATTTAGGTTTCCAGAAACAATGTCTACTGGTGACTTGTGTTGACATCTCGGAGTCATGATCTGAACCATCAGCTGTGCTTTTCCAGACCTTTGGGGGAAAAACTAATTTGTTTCTACAGAAAACCCCACTTCTGTTGAGGACACAACAATGGAGAACCTGAAAACTAAGGAGAAAAACACTCATAGCCCCATCTGAGTCCAGGTGGCCCTTCCAGAAATGTCTCCTGAAAGCTCACACTCAGATCCAACTGGAAGCCAATTTCTGAATGAATATTTCTTGCCTTCCCTTCCTGCATTACCTTTGCATAGACCAAAGTAATCATTGGCCCTCTGTCCTGGCGGGGCTGCCTATGGGTCTATCTAGAGTTCCTTGAGGAAAACTGGCCAGAAATGTCTGAAAATTGTCGACAACCCTGAAGGCCAGAGCCTCTTATTGCAGAGAGTGAAACTCAGATTTTAGGTTTTCATTCTCCTTTCTTCTCTTTTCCAGCTTTTGTGATACAAAAATAATGAGATGGAAATGCTAGAATTCCAGATCAAGCTTAATTTATAACAACAACAACTTAAGTGATTTAAAGGGGATGACAGTGGAAATCTGGGGAAACATTTAACTTGTTGATTTGAGGAAGAGGAGGCTAAATGGAATAACCTTATAACCGTCTCCAGGTCTGAGAAGGGTGATGGTATATCTTTCATATCTTATTACCCAGACTAAAACAATAAATAGTACACTGATAAAACTCTGCTAAAACAAGAGTTTAGGATAATGATTAAACCATGAACCAGGCTACCAGAAAGATTGTGAAATCGCTTTTCCTATAGGTGGAGTAAACAATACTTGGAGGCCATCCATGTAGACTTCCCACTCACAGGGAGTTGTACAAACACTGCATTGAATAACCTAACCAGATGGCCAGAATGTTTGTCCCTGGCAGTTCTATTTCCCTAATATTGCTAGTTAGTTGGGAAGTCAAAATGATCTTATGTTTGAATCCAATGCTGCCATTTACTATCTCAGAGACCTTAGACAAGTGCTTCATTTCTCTAAGCCCCAGTTTCCTCATTAGTAAAACAGGGCTAGTTCATAAAAGTACCAACTGCCTAGGATGTTAGGAGAACTGAATGAGTTCAAACCTATAAAGCTATTGGCATAGTGCCTGGCACATATAAATCTAAATTAATGTTAGATATAATTGTTATGGGTCATACAAACAATTAATGTTTTCAGATGCCAAATGAAAGGTTGGAATTTCAAGTCCACCCAGAGGTATCTCAGAAGAAATGTGATCTACTTCTAAAAAGTCAGCTGTGGAAAATCCTATGGAGTACAGTTCTGCTCTGACATACATGGAGTTGCCATGAGTCAGAATTGGCTTGATGGCAACTGGTTTACAATGATTTCCGTAAAGATAGTTCATGCTGAAGCTGCTGTGTTTCATCACGTAATGAGCACTGTAGGGGGCGTTGGAGAAATGTTACTGGAAAATGAGGATCCGTAGCACAGGGATAGGGAAGGAATAGCGGCAAAGGCATTATGCCTACCGTACTCAAAGGGAAAGTGGGTGGGAGGGCTTCCTGCAAAGCACTAATATTGTCTAAATACAGAGTAAGCCTGAAACAGCATGAAGGGTCTGGCGGAACAGAAACAGATTAGGCTATCAAAGCCCAATGAGCCTCTGGCTTTGGCCCATGAGAGAATCCACACCAACCAGTTGCCTACTTTTAGTGGAGATGACTGGGGTGGGATAGTTTGTTCTTGCTTTGGTTTCCCCTCCTATAAGTGTTCTAAGGGAGAGGAAGGGACTCATACATACCACCAAACACTATCAGATAAGATGAGGCTATTTTTCCAAGTACTAGCACTCCTGATTTGAACCCACTATAGGAGATTAATCATGAAGCTGTCATTTGACTGGCCTAGCCCTGGCCAGGCCTGTTTTTAAGGCTAGTAGGACTCAGAGTAGAGCCTGGACCTTCTAATCCCCAGACTCTGTTGACTCAAAAGAGTGGGCTGAGTGTACAAGAAGCAAGCAGTACACATAGTAGAGATCCAAGTAGAGGGAGACCCTTTCAAGTGATAGTTCCTTGGCATTCTTTGTGGAATAAGGATGCCCACCTCCAAGTAGAGAGAGCAGGGCACATCTTTCTAGACTGCAATAGACAAGGATCTTTAGCCTTCTAACTTTTCCCAGGACTCCCAGAAGGCCCAGGTTATTAGCAGTGGATCACTTTTGCATGGCCCTCACATCAAGAAACTTGGATGAGTATCTCCCATAGAGCAGATAGAAAATTATCCTTTCCCCCTGTTTACTCAGCACTGCCCCCCACACTCACACCCACCCCACCCCACCAGCTGCATTTAGTCCAGCTTGGATAAGCATAGTTCCTTCCTTAGCTGTGGGCTTGGCACAGCCCCAGCCCTTAGGAAAGTGTAACTAAACCACAGAAGCAGGTCTGCTCACTGTTCCCGGACCCAAAAGGCACAGCAGTGCAGTTTGGTCAGCACTTTGGCGGCCACCCCATCATGGACGGTGAGTCAGCAGGCCAAGTGTGTTATCCACACTTAGGCATCATCATATGATGTTTCCCACAGAAAGGAGTGTTCCTCTATCATGTTTTGCACAAACCTACATCTGTATTGGTAGGAGGGAATGTGGCATTTCTGTTCTCCAGGAGGGAATGACATGTCTGTCCTTATTACACACAACTGCTACCCTTAGGTCTCTGAGTCAGAAGAGACCTCAAGAACCCTGACCTCTTTAAGTCCCTTTCAACCCCAGTAATGATAATGACTTGTTGTTGTTACTTAGGTGTAGTCATTTGGTGGTAGCAATGTTTCCACTAGACTTCTAATCTAAGGGTCGCCAGTACAAACCCACCTAGAGATACAGAAGGAGACAGAGATACTGATCTGCTTGCATTAAGATCACAACCAAGAGAGTGCTACAGAGCAATAACACGTGGGCTCAACAGGAGTCGAAATCTACTCGACAAAAACTGACAACAATGACAGTTTATGTTGCACTGAAATAAAAAACTTTCCATGAGGTATTCAAAAAGCAAAACATATCAAAAGGAAATTTTAAACTGCTCTCCTTCAGAAACTCTGACATCTGAATTGGTCCATAAATATTTCAAGTTAGAGATGTTCTCATTAACTTATGAGGATACTGAGTTACGACTCTAAAGCCCAAGGCCATCCAGCAAGTTTACAGCAGGAAAACAACAGTACCAGAGTATCCTGACCCTATTCAATCCAGTACTCTTCCTACTCCACCACCCCCTTCCTTCTGCATTCTAAAGTCCCTAACTCACATTGAATAAAAAAGCGAAAAACAGCAAAAAAGCTAGGTAATGTAGGATGGTGTCATTTTTTACAACAACAACAAAAAAATGCCTCAAAT